AAATTTATAAAAAATATTTTTTGAATACAATTTTTTTTTTTTTTTTTTTTGTATTATTATGACCGAGTTTCAGTATGAGGACAAACGGTTCACAGTGATGATGCCATTCAAAAGAATTTTGAACGGGGGGGTTTTGGACAGAAGAGACTTCGTTACCAAGCAATCTCTTTATGCCTCATCGCTCACAAATCCCATCCAAATTAAAAAAGTCTTGGGAAAAAAAAAATCAAATTAAGATTGATGCTTGGGGTAGTTGCAGCTGCAACACTGGTCAAATTGACCGCTTAACCGCAAATTGTCTAACACATGACGAAACTTATGCTACATTAGATTAGTTAGGATTGGGACTTTTGACACGGAGGGCGTGATTAAAAAGATTTAGGTGAGATTAGATTTTTAATTTTCTAATTTTTAATTTTTTAATTAATTTATTTTTTTATATTTTCTTGAGATGATAGGTTAGATTAGACTATAGGTGCATGCGACGAGAGTAGCTGCATATGTAAATGAGTGTTCTTGTACGAGACATGTAGATTAATTTGATTTATTTCGGGTGAGCAACATGTTCCCATTCTCTGCGGCGTAAGCGTGGGGTTGAGCCGGCATAAAAAAAAAATACAATTAAACCTAGGGATTATTAAACAAAGCAATTACTACGGATTTGATGCTCAGATGTACGAACTATTATTTAATTCTGTAAACAAATAGAACTAAATTATTAGCACTAAGTAATAATGGTTGGTCCGGTCAGCGTGGGCAGCCCCTCGGGGAGAGCTGCCCGGCGCTGGGCCCGGTCCGTGAGGGAGCAAACAAACAAACAAACAAAATAACGTCTCAATTGCAGCGAGAAAGAGAGAGAGAGCAACTCGTTTCCGCACGTGACACGTGGGACCCCCGCAAACTCGACGAGTCTCACGTGAGCAAACGTCAGCGGAACGCTGCCGCCGGAGGTTCGACCCGGACCGCAGCGATCGCGGTGCGTCCATATAATCTCGTTTGTTACGCTAATTACTGCAACCATCCAAACTATAATTTTATTACTGGCGACCTGAATAGTCCGAGAGAAACTACACGTCGCTATGTTTCTCAATCGCAACAATTAATCCCGTATGTTTCGAATGGTCTGTTTAGCAAAATCGACATCTTATGAGCCTGTTGATCAAAATAAGGTCTATTTTGCTAAATATTTAACAAAATAGGTCTATTTTGTAAAAAAAAAATTCTTAATGCTAAAGGATAAACGGAGTTGGGAAGTAAATTACAGAGCTTATCGAGATCATGGTCAAAATGCGGGCCGATCAAAGCAGTAAACAAGTAGATGATGTAAAATAAGCCTAATTAGCCGATGAGTACACAAATATATATATATACATATAATAAAATTTTGACCCCCCGAGAAACAGAGTCCTTGCAAAGCTCACCCACCTTAAATTCAGTTCCTTTAAGATATAAATTTCTATCCAGACCCCCGATAAAAAAAGAAAACTCATAAATGTAATTGAGATGAAATTAATGCGTTGAACCGGACGCATCAACTCAATAAAGAACAGGGTGTAGAGTAAATAACGGAGGCCGGTAAATGCGGGTTTCGGGTTTAGGCTTAATTTGACCTATTTTTAATTTTAATAGTTCCGATCGGGCAGCAAAACCCGCCTTCTCTCTCGCCGCGGAACCTCTACCCACGTCACGTGAAAACACGCCACCACTCTATCCGTGTCACGTGAGCACGCGCGCGCCCCCGGCCTTCTCTTTCTAATAACCAATGCCCGCTATTAATTATTTCTTGGTACGTCCATCAACTTCACCCGATATTAATTATTTCTTGAAACTTAAAAGAGCTCCTTTTTATGCGACTGTTAATTTCCCGCCTTGGATTAATTAATGCAACCTCGGTTTGATGTTGAATCTTCGCGTTTACAGCTCGTTCTTGAATTCGGGACGAGGTTTTCTACCCGATATTGAATTTGTATCAGCATTAAATTATCTAGCACATACCTCTTTGGTATTCAAGTTGAAATTCTGGAAAAGGTAATCTCATTGCTATCAGGGAGTACAAAACCTTTAAATAAGATTGTTGATGTTCGATATCAAACAGCCTATATATTAACCCAGAAGAGCATGCTTGCGGGGTGATGAAGGACGTACGATGAAGGGGATCTCTTCCTTTCCCGACTTTATATCTGGCCACTGAGTTAGAGTTTGCGATCGCACAAAAGAAGTCGTGAGAGGATGAGATGATGATTCCCCCGTGGTACCTCCGACGATCAAGTCACTTGATGAACTTGAGCTTGAGTGGAGTAATAGAACTATGTGTTCTTATGCTATGTGCATTAGAGATGATGATCTCTCAAATTTAGATCAGGAGGAAAGTTTAGATTGCGAGCATGCCAACTTGCGAACCCCCCTTTTTATGGCGAATAGCATCTGTATTTATAGAGGATGCTACGGGCAGATTGGTCACTTTATGAGTGTACTGTAAGGCGGTGGTGAGAGGTGAGCTGGAGGCTGAGTCACCATTTGTTCTATACGTGTCGATATATGTGTGACGGGAGGTCACTTCAGCGATATTGGGAGTCAGCAGCCGACGAATCTTGTCGGTTTGTGAGTGACTGGAGATCACTTCAGCGACATTAGGAGCCAGAGCTGACGAGTCTTCAGACGGCTGAGGACAGGGACATAATGATGACCATCAAAGGTTAAATAATATTGAGAAGTAATATTCTGGGTCATCCTCGGGAGGAGTGTCAGCTAACGCTGAGTAGCGATCTTTTGATATGAAGAGGATCGACTGAGTCCGCCTCTCGAGTCGCCTTTAAGAAATGATGCCGACTCGACTGGAGGAGTGACGGCTCGGCTGTCCTTCAGGTCGACTCCGAGGAGTGTTGAATCTCTAGAATGCTGATTTTCGTACCGACTAACACTGCCTACCGAGTCGGCAGATTGTGTCGGCTTGTCTTGCTGGTCGAGATGTCGACTCATCAGATCATACATTTAGAAACAGTTGTACCCCATAACAACGATAAAATCATAAATAAAAAAAACCCTAATCTTTATTGTCCGGCGATTTTCTTGATATTAACCCTTGATATATATTTGGGACTCGTAGATTTTGATGAGCGTCATTCTAATCACCTGCGTCCAATAACTAGAGCTAAAAGAGATTAATTCAAATCATAAAACTTGAGATCTAAAACCATATAGCCATGATTAATTCAAAGAGATTAACAAGGATCTAAAAGAGCGGAAGCTTATACCTGAATCCATTGCTTGATCTTGATTTTGGGTGTTGGATCTTCTAACCTTAGGGTTTCCTCTAAAACCGAATTTCTCTAGCTAGATGGGGGTGTAGAGAATTAGAGAATGTAACCCTAGGTTAGGGACCATAACCCCTTATTTATAGATGTTGTACTTTTGTAATTTAGCCCCTCAATAAATCACAATTACAACCTGGTATCTGCACATATAACCCCATGATTATATTTAAATACCCATTAACCCAACTTAATTGATCACTTTAGTGGGTTATCCTGAAAGATAGCAATACACATTGATTAATCATATGTGCCCACAAATAGATTTATTAGATTAAATCCAACAATCTCCCACTTGGGCACCATATGATTCCTTAAACTGTGTATAACCTTATGAGCTCAAAAATTGCTATCACTGAAATGGTATTTCCGAACAATCTCGT